TATCCAATTGCCTGACCCTTAATGCAATCAAAACATTTCATAGCTCATGCATTCTGGGAAGACAAGAGACGGACAACTCCAACTTCAACCGTCGAAGGCGCCTGGACGACCTAGGTGCATTACAGTCAAACCCACAAAAGCCTGAGCTATCCAGCTCCGAGCCGTATAAAGCAATAATATACGTGTCTAGAATGTAAATATCTAACTGTTGATATGAAGCTAATTTCGGCCATTTGAGTTTTGGCATGGTTCTGAGTCCTGGCTTCGGTTTTAGTTGCATGTGTTACACGCATCAGCCCTACAGGCATCGATTCAAACACATGTAAGCCTGGGCTTAGGAAGCGCAGAACGTAACCCCGACACCCTGCGAACCTGAACCTATCGGCTATTGCAATTTGATCATGCCTTTTCGACGCCAGGAGAAGCCCCAAGGGCCCACACACCAAAGCATCCGCCACCCACCAATTAAAGTAATTTCTACGTGCTGCACAATACGCACCCGAAAATCCAATGTACTCCCCGGGCTGAGGGACAACCTCGGCAGGTTTTCTGGTACGACAGTCAACCCCCAACTGCAACAATCGCCTCGGACCTCTTCCAATAGCTGAATTCGTGTCGGTATTCTTTATTTATGCACCTCCTTGCCTCTACGGTATATGTTTAAATTTGAAACTGTAGTCAGCCCAACCTTACAGCAACGATACCGGCAGCGTCGCTGCGCAGCTCCGTGTACCTTGGTAAGGTGCGGCGTGTAGGGAGTACGGTATGAAGGTCTTTCCCCGTATGTTCACTGCGTGGGTGCCACTTTGTGTCCGTTCGTGATGTAGTGATGTCGTACATACGTTCGGAGCAAAGTTTCTTGCTGTGGGTGTTTCGTGGCGCGGTGTTTTTCTCCTGTCGTGCCGGCAAGCAGCAACAGCGACAACGACAGCAAAAGCACAAAGGCAGCAAACTGCAAAGATAAGGTCAGCAAACTCAGATAGGAGCTGGAAAGCCGGCCGATGGTTATTGTTGCGGTGTTCAGAGGCTAGTATGGGTGCGCAATTGTATGTATGCTTGTATATAGGTGTTCAAATGTCGGGTGAGAATGTGCTCGCGCGCGCGGGTGTGCGTGTGTAAGTGTCAGTATGTGTGTGTAAGAAGGAGTATGTGTGTGTCCACGCGCACGCATGTATACGTATGTGTGGGTACGTGTTTTTACTTGTGATGGAATATTCCAAACTGCCCGCCATCCGCCTGTGCGCTTATTAGTATGTTTCTGCATTTTGTGCGCAGCTGCTCATGTTGTTTTGCCGTGCAAAGTCTGTGCTCGTTGCGTCCCCTGCTAGATGATTAACAGCGTGAGTGTGTGTGTGTGTATTTCCCCGCCCACCTCCCGCCCGATGCCCCCGCCGGTCTGAGCGAGCCTGGGCGAGGACTTACGTCGGCCGCCTCGCCGTCGGCCGCCTCGCCGCCAGCATCTCGCCGTCGGCCGCCTCGCCGTCGGCCGCCTCGCCGTCGGCCGCCTCGCCGTCGGCCGCCTCGCCGTCGGCCGCCTCGCCGTCGGCCGCCTCGCCGTCGGCCGCCTCGCCGTCGGCCGCCTCGCCGTCGGCCGCCTCGCCGTCGGCCGCCTCGCCGTCGGCCGCCTCGCCGTCGGCCGCCTCGCCGTCGGCCGCCTCGCTGTCGGCCGCCTCGCCGTTGGCCGCCTCGCCGTTGGCTGCCTCACCGTCGGCCGCCTCACCGTCGGCCGGATGCCGGATGCCGGATTTGGATTGCCGACCACCAATCAATCTGCATCATCAACCCTTTGTTGTGGTATGCATGATGGCATGGCATGGTCGAGGGTCGTTTGGTTCCATGTCTTGCGTTTCATTGGAATCTGTTGCGAATTCGGCCACTCCGAAACCGTTTCGTAGTGTGTATGCAACCCCGTCATCCCCGCCTGAATCCCCTGATCACTCGCTGCAACAACACCTGCCGGGTCTGGGCCGCCACCGTCATTTTCACCATCAGCATCACCGTCGACGTGGAAGACATGCCATTTTGATCGCCGTCGGCGTCTTGCCGTCGGCGTTTCCACGTCACGGTTTGTCGCACCTCCGGTGAGTCACGCGCTAGTTAAACGCATCCCTTGTCTGTGCTGTGCATTTCCTTGTTGACGTTGCCTTATGTACGTCATTGTACAATTTTGCAGTGCGTCACGTCTTGTTCGTTAGTTGGTTGTAAAGCGCTGTTGTCTGTTGTGGGTTTTTGTTGTTGTGCCGCATGCGACGTCGGCGTCTCGCCATGGACGTCTCGCCGTCGGCGTCTCACTGTCGGTGTCTTGCCGTTGGCATCTTTTAGTTCTTGTCAAATTTCTGTTCTTGCACGGCGGCTTTCTCCGCTGCCCTCACAGGCACTGCAGCAACGGGGAAGGGGTGGCTCGCTGGACAGCAGTGCCGGCGCCGTCGGCAAGCTATCAGCAGCTGCCGCCGCGGCGGCGCCGGCAGTAAGACCCCTAGCGGACTTTGCCTTTATCAGAAGTGCACCGAAACGTCGCGTCTCCGCCGGCCGCACCGGGACGTTGGTTAATACACCCTCAGCACCGACGGGGCCCATGGGAAGGTGCCGTCCCAGTGTGTTCGTACAGCCGGCGGATGAGGAGGCGGCGCCGACAGATGCTGAAGAGGCACTGCTGGACGGCAACGGCCC